GCAAACGGATATTTAAAATTAACATTACTTCTAAAGTACAATAATTCTTAATAGTTTGCTGTAGGAATTTCTCTCCTGTATATTTACATCTAATTTTTAAAAAGCTTTCAATCCAATTCATAGAAAAGTGTGAAGCGTCTTTATTCATAATAATGTTTGGAGAAAAAAATATTAGTATTGATATATTTTTATTTCTTATATATTAAATATGTTATTTTATGTGTGAAATATAACTGATCCGTTTTACGTCAATGTAGAATTGTAATGGAATGCAAAAACTAGGTACTTTATATTATTTATATTAATACTTTAAATATATTTAAAATGTCATTACGAACATAAAATAGACTTTTACTTAAACTTTTTTATATTACTGGAATTTTTAAATAAACATATATAAACATTTCTTAAAGTATGTTCACATTTTCTTCGACATTTATATAGTTAATTATTTATTACCAATAAAATTTTGTAATTAAATTCTTCAATATACCTGAAATAAGTCCTCGTGTAATTGAAACATCGTCTGTATGCCAGTGAAACGTGACGCAATGTTAATAGATGACATATAATTTAGCGACTAATATCATTGTAAAGGATAACCGCGCTCAAGACAGTAATTGTGCTTGCTCTGTCTGATTAAGCATAATTATAATCCAGAAAGAAATGTCTCTAGGTCACTATGCTACGACGATCAATTCCTGTTTAAACCGCATTTCGCGTCGTGTTATTTTAAGCAATAACGTATTATATGAACATCGGTAACTGATTTTGAGCTGTATTATCAATATAAACTAATAAATAAATTAATATTTTATATTTATTTACTTAGTTTATTTACTTTTTTATATTTATTACTTAAATTAATGAAATAATTATCGCTGTTCCTGTACTTAAAAATTTTTTAATTTAAATTAATAATATCGAAATAGTATAATTGATGTGATAAATGTATATCTAACCATCATAGATTTCATGTTCAACAATCATATAAATAAAATCAAAAGCACAATTAATATAAAAAGAAAATGTTTTAACAAGTCACTTAACGAAGTATATCAGATTATGCAGAAAATGTTTTACTCGCTCGTTTATCATCAGTCATCCGTGAGAAAAGAGCTCACGCGGCACATAATAAAAAGTTATTAATTTTAATTACAAATGTAAAGAATCAATGAAATCATATCTAATCGCAATTTATATTAAGTTAATTACACTAATAAGTTACATAGAGATCATGATTAATAAATGTGTGTAAGTACATACAATTAGACTATCCATGAATCTAATCTATCTCTACGAGAGTTTTCACAACACATTTATAGATATCGGAAAAAAGATTTGCTTTATTAATTTGTATGATCGCCTCATTTTTTATTCTTCATGCTGAAAATTTTTTTGTATCATTGCTATTGTCACCTACATATTGTTTAATACAATTAGATTAATTAAATGCAAAACAAATAATCTTTATACACATATACAATGACTATTATAATTAGTTAAACCGTTTTCATAAAATTCTCGTAATGACATTATATTATAATAATTACTTAATAGTATTATACATATAATTTCAGATATAACAACAATAGCGATTTATGATCGAATACAATTTATAAATCATCGCGTAAATAAAAAAGATAAGTAATTGTTTAAATAGCATTATCAACACATTGATGCAAAGACCATCTTTTGAGATTTAATCGACGAGAATTATTGTCAAATCTATTGGCACTTCATTATCGCCAACCTCATCATTGATGATGCAATCACAATGGTGCATATTTCGAAGCAACAAGAAAAGGAAAAAAATATCGCGCCTTTCCTATACACTCCATCTTTACCAAGAGTAGACGCCCTTCGTATTGGATTAATGGGCGGAGCGAAGGACGTTCTTTGCTGCCAAAGTGTCGTGACAATGTTTACGCGATCAACCAAAAAACCATAATCTGGCAAAATTTGGATCGGAATGCACTACATTTCAATGATCAATCTAGGCGAATCAAAGGAAGATCGTATCTTAATAAAGGTCACAATCTATAAAGAAAGATTTAATATATATTTCGAAATCTTAATACATATTCCTTTGAATATAGTATTAAGTAAATATTTATTTACAGTAAATAAATATTCACTCAATATAAAATAAAAGTTAAATCAAATTAAAATGATTCTTGTATCAAATAAATATATGTTTACATTTAGTAAATATTTATTTACTTTATGAAAATTTTCTATGAAAATAATTGATACGCATAATAGTTATTTAAAAATTTATCCCAAGTTTAGTACGTTGTGGATACTTACGTATTTATAAGTATTTACATATCATTTACGCTCGTATGCACATATTTTAGTGAGCGATAGATATTTGAGTTAAAAGTAGAAACAAGATACAAACTGATTGAAAACTAAAAGGATCAAGAGATGAATAAAAGTAAAAAATACACTTACATGTGTTTTTAAGTGATAGTAAAATAATTTTACGTGAAAATAAAATAAACCATTGCAACGGATGTATAATAAAGTAGCACAGCGAAAAATAGAATATCAAAAAGTAAAGTTAGTTGGCCTCACATTATTGAAAATCTCATTGACCTTGATTTTTTATTCCTTCAGGATCTATTGATTTTGCCTCGTTGAAGTTAAGATACTTAGACATCTATTATTAAAAGCAAAATTTAAAAAATAATTATGATATAAATTTGAACCGATAAGAATAAATGTAATAATTAAATAAGAAAGAAATCCCATTCGAAAATAAAATCTTGGTGTTTGAATATTTCTGTGTGAATTTAATACATATTTAATTTTGAATTTATATACATATCATATCTGAGGAATTTAAAAGATAATTTTTGAAAAATTTGGCAAGAGAGAAAGAGAGAGAGAGAGAGAGAGAGAGAGAGAGAAAGAGACGACAGACCAATTATAAAGTACTAAAATTATAAAGTAGCTTGTCACGTTGTACTTAATAAACGCAAATGCAATTTTTTCTATTGCTGAAAATAGATGCAATTATGAACAAAATTTTTGAAAAAATAGAAACTAATAGACTCTTTGTGTTCTTTAAGACTGTCAATTTTAGAAAAGTATCACTAACATACCCTCATCTAAACTCAATTGAACAATCGAAAAGTCAAGTACTCAACAATTGGAATGTCACTCATCTCTCACCTCCTATCACAGTGAGTCTGATAGTGCGATTTAGTCAGTGAATCAAGCAAGTCAAAAAGAATAAACAGACGCAAAGAATTCTGTGACGCGTAATTCGCGTCTGATGTCTTTAGTCTTCCTCGAGTATATCTCCGACGATATCAGTTAGACCTAATACGAGCGACGAACGAACGGACTTCCCCAGATATACAAAACACCTTCGCGTTGTCGGTCGCCTCGAGGGCGTCCGGGTGTACATGGGCGTGGTTATTCCCTAGGCAACTCCCATTTGGACACCATAATGGCCTCCGCAAAGCCAATCGCCGTCGCGGATTTCATATACAATTGGTGGGGAGTAAGATGACGTGCCAATCGTAAACGTGGCTGTCGCTCGTTGTAGGCGTGGCCTTGAGTAGCGCCACCGCGGCGACTTTCAGAAACGGTGAACCGGGCTCCGGGGAGAGGCTCCGGCTTCATTATGTATCATTATACCGGTCCGCGCCGCGCGGTGTGCACTGCAGTTACTGGAACCAGGCGCGCGTGTGTGCTTTTCTCTCTTCTTCTACGCCCTGGTCTCTCGTCTCGTCGTTTTCTTCTTCCCTTACCTTACCTTCTTCTTCGTCCAGCCGGTACGGAACCCGCGTATTGCCGTCGAGCCGTGCACGATACGTCTCGTCGGCCAAGTAATCGTGGCACGACGCGTGTAAAAACCATATCGTCGCCGAGGAAGTGCGCGAGCGCGCGCTCGGTGTCGCGTTTGTATACGGCGGTGCAATTAAATTGGCGCGAGTGTTGAGATATACGACTGCGATAGATTTTCGGCTCCGATCGCGCGGAACGAAGAGATCGCCGGATCGGAGAGAATCGCAATCTCATCCTCGTGCTTGCCATTCACCGCGCGGATGATCGCGGACCTTGACGCGGTGACGTTCCGTGACGTTCGTTCGGCGGAGTCGAGACTGTGTTGAAAAGTGATCGAGTGAGACGTTTTTCTTCGACTGGTGTAAACGTTTGTAACGTGAGTGAAAAAGACGGATATGCCGACGGTCTGGTCACGCCGTTGCGGCGCGTCTCTGTTTGAAAGCCGAGCGACGACGAGCTGACGCACGGCAGCAGCCGAACAATAACATCGATCTCTCGATAACGGACTCTTTGGTCCGACACAGTGTTTCCGCGAGGACTACGCGTGTGAAGTGGACTACGGTGTGACAAGTGATGTCCGAACTGATAAACAAAAGCATCCAAAACGTGAACCCGACGGATAGTAGATAAGGATACGTGCAACAGAGGTCGTCGCTTGAAACAGCCAAAAGTGTAAATCCCGCAGGGCGAGTCCCTTGGGAAAACAAAGGAGAAGTCCGTGATAGTGCAACTTGAGGAAAGTGTCGAGCGATCCATCCAAGTGACACGCTCCGCAGTCTTCAGCTCCGCAGTGTAAACCGCAGGGTTCTCTAGAAAACCGAGCTGGAATTCGAAAACGCCCAACCCTGAAACCGCGACTGGTAAAGGTTAACTCTCGCGATCTTCGATGACGACCTTCCGCGCTCGTTCCGACACTCGGTCGACATAAATCGTACGGGGCACACGCGCGGTGTGTGCTCGTCCGTATAGAGAAGTCCCAAAATTCGGGCCCCGTACGGAGGAGGGCACGCGACGGTCGCGGCGGCGACGACGTCGTCGGCGAGTTCGACGGCGGCGAGGACCGTGGGCTGTGGCGGCGGCATCGACGTTGTGTCTAAGGTGGAGCGTCCGGGCAGCACGACGACGCTCAATTTCACGGATCTGGGGAGCCCATTCGGGGCGGGCGACCCCTGTCCGTCGAGTACCCCGACCCCGAACAGCATGTCGGGCGGCGGTGGACCGACCGGTGGTGGCGGGGGGGGGGGTCATCGAACTCCAGCACAACAACCTCTACAATCCGGCGAGTCTACGGAGCGGTTACCCGGGCGGACATAACGTACCTGGCGCGCATCAGTTTTCGCATCAGGTCGGCTCGCTGGCGGCGCATCAAGGTTCCGGGCCCGGCAGCGGGAATCAACAGCACGCGGACGCGGGTTTTCCCAGTCCCAGATCGCTCGCCGGATATCCGTTCGCGCCCATGCACCAGCACAACGCCTACGGATATCACATTGGAACGTACCCCCAGTGCCCCTCGCCGCCCAAGGACGGTGAGTACCCCAACTGTATGTATTCGCAGCCTTTTTTATTCCTACTCTTAGATTACGTATATCTAGTTAACGTTAATCTCGGTGAAATCTCCGTTTCTTGCGACTCGGATCAGTGCCTCGTGCCGACGGTGGAATATCGCGAAAAAAATATGATAATGTAATCTGGTGAACTCGTCAGTGTGAATATCGGAGTGATGTTTGCGCGAAGTGATGCTAGTGCAAAGTGGAACGGAGATATTCATCGAAGGGCTCAAGGTGAAAATGCATCGACGATATACGCGTTGCCAAATTTGTGATGTATATTCAAATCTCGCGAAAAACGTTACATTCGTTCTCAGCAGATAAGAGCTTTGCAACTGTTGTAAAGTTCTTCGATGTAATTGATTTATATTCTCTGAAACTTTTAGAGTGAACCTCAATCTGAATATAATCTCACTCTTAAAGATTGAAAATTGAATCACTCTTTCTCAAGACTGGCTCAATTTTCACTCTTTAGAGTGAGATTCCACTTTAGAAAGAATTCAGAGAGTACATTTACATTTGCGAAGAACTAAGGGCAACAATCAATGGTTATACATTCAGTAGAGAAAGCAGCTTTGCAACTGTTGTAAAATTCTTCAGTGTTTGATTGTTTTATATATTTAAATCCAGTGAAAGGAAGGGCAAGAGCAATCATATTAAAGAATTTTATAACAGTTGTAGAGCTGCTTTCTCTGCTGAGTACAGCCAATTGTATTAAAGTTTATCTTACAACAGTTGCAAAGTTGCTTTTTCTACTGAACGCAGCCATTGGTCGCGTTTGGTAGAAGTCAGTGCTTGGTAAGCGTCAATTAGATTATTTTTTTTGCATCAATTGGATTATTCTTTTACAGGGTTGGTCACAAACTAGAAATCACATAGAATTCTTGATTTTAAAGAATTAATTTATGTTATATATATCTACGTAGTTTTTGGAATATCAACTTAACTTAAATTAATAATGCAAGTAGTATCAGCAAATTAATAATAATAATTTACTTTACTAAATTTTGATCTCTCAACAAAATATTTAATATATAATTCCAAATCCAAAGGATGGAAAAAAATTTTAATGTTATTGAAAGTCAGAGAAAATCATGAAATTTTGTCTGGAATTTAGAATGAATTTGTAAACCCTGTTTTAGATCTGAAAGGACAGTCTTATCTCAGTGAAAAAAACTTGCAACAATTGCAAAATAAAGATTCTGTTGAAGACGATTTGTTTGTAACTTAGTATAGTAACAAATAAACTGACATGAATGAGAAATTCTAATATCATATTTTGTGTCGAGAATATTAATGAAATAAAAAAGCTCTGAAAGTTAGCTTGAATATTCATCTTGAGCCCATTCTAGATAGTAAATAAATAAATAAATATAGAGATATTATTTTTCGAAGTCCATCATCGGTGCGCTAATACGTGGACGACTTCGAGCCTTTCGAAGGCGAGTGTATCGTGCCAGCGTTATAACATTTGTCAGAAATGATACGGTCATCTTGACGCGAAGCAGAATAAGACGGCGACAGACGTTTCCGGTGGGTCACCTGTATTTCGCGTCGTGGCGAGCGCTTTATTACTATGACTTTTTTATACGGCCGTAGGACTTTATTGCCGGTTGGCGAATGTCTTCATCACGCGCAAATAAATTTCCGTGCAAAAATAAATGTGGTACGCTTATATAAATGTGGTATGCGACGCAAATCAGATAGCTGCTCCACTGTTGAAAAAAAAAAAAAAAGAAAACAGTCAACGTTTATTGCGATTCGTCCACTCGATTCCTGTTTACGGTTCCTCCAGACTTTTGAATCAATCACTCACACCCTTGTCTTCCGTAACGTGACTTTTTCTAAAAAGAAAATTTATAGTACGAAATGTTACAAATTTTTTTAGGTGATCGAGGTGATCTCTGTCTCCATTGTGAAAGTAGGTCTTTAAAGGAGACTTTAAAAAGAGAATTTAAGAAATGAAGCGTGCGAAAATCTAAAAGATACGCAAATAAAGGCACTTTAAAATAAATATGCTTATAGCTTTCTCTTCCCGTGTCTAAACGTATCCTAAGAATCTAGAATAGCAGGTAGCTGTCGGTCGTTATAGCCAACGTTATATCTATTCTACGGCACACAATGCCACGAAACGAAATAAGATATATGACTAGGATGACTTCCATTGAAAGACCATAAAAAGTCCCGCGAATCGCCTAACGAACGACAAAACGAAACAAAAAGGTTCGGGATCAAACGGGAGCAGTTGCGACTTTTTCTTCAGGAACTCTTTTGCTCGTACAAGTTTTCTTTTCGATCACCTCGCTTCTTCTCTCGCGTTTTTACCTTCCTTCAGAATCGCATTAGCACGATATAATCGCGACTTTTATTTTACGCGCGAAATCACGAGTCAGCTAATTACGATCATTATCGGATTCGCCTCAGGTTCGTCGTAGATCGCGGAATCGTTCAAGGCACTATACGATGTTACGATAACTAACTTTAAAATGTCTTTTTAAACTTGTTATCGTTGGATTTTGAAAAAGCCAGTTAGTTTTCGCTATCTTAGGATACTAATTAAGATTTATACGCACAAAATAAAGAAAAAAATATAGCAAAAGAGTCGTATTACGATAAACAATAAATGCATATTTAACTTAAATTCCACTGATGATAGGTTGTCTTGTTATCTCATGGAAATTTCTATTTTATTTGTCTGTTTGAATATATCTAGCGCAGTTCTCTCTCTCTCTCTCATAGTCTAAACATAATACGACTATATACACATCCGCATCGCGAAATCGCGTGATCGAGATAACTTGTTTCACCAAGGAAGTCCGCATGCTACGAAACTCCATGCAGCGACATTCGCGCTGGTTTCTTGGTCGATCGCATTTTCAAATATATATAGTCCGGAGGGCTGACTGGAAATATTCTGAAGTCGTTTCTGAAGTCGGCAACATTCGGCGGATAATTTATCGCGCGCGATGTGTGGAGCAACGGGGAAACCCCCGTTGGCGCGCTTAAAGCAAACGTTCGCAGGTAACGTATAACAGACCGAATAGCAGCGACAGTTCGCTACCCTCCCATCCGCGGCCCATGAATTCGTAACGACTGCCGCGTGTCCACCATTGCGGTATGTGGCAACCTCTCGGGGAAGTCCGGTGTTTCTGCATATAATCCACCAGCGGGACGACCCTCGCTTCAGCGGGCAATTTTCGTGGCGCCTTTCTTGAAAATTACCGGTGATCTCCCGACGAAAGCCGCGAAAGGGTTCGCGGTACGGGAGGCAAACTTTTCCGCCAACGGGAGGAATCAGCGTGCCATCGGGCGCGATGCAATTTTTGTTTTGCGGCTGGCGAGCGAGCGAGCGAAGAAGCGATCGGTCGTCAGGGGGTTGAATTCTCACGCACGGAGGGTTGCATTTCGCCCTTAAATTGCCGGTAATTCCCCCCTCCCCCCCACCCCCTGTCCTTACAAAATGTATGCACGGCTCGCTTTTCATAAATCGCACAGCAGCAAAATGCATATCCTCGATCTGCTTCGCGAGCTGCATCGTAAAAACTTCTCTATCGAAGGGTTGACATAACTTTGGTATTTTTGCGGAAAAGCTTTCACGGGGTTTTCTGATAGAAACAACAGTTACGTTATCGTCGCGATATATTCTCAGAAATACGTCAGAAATACTCGTGGCAACTTTTACTAAGGTATTGTGCAGAGGCAAGTGTACACTAGACTCTAAAGATTCTCTCTAATCAGAATCTGGACACGAGTCCATTTTGTATGCGGGATCTCTAATTTTTAGCAAAACCACGCGAGAGAACATACATTTACTATTTTTTCTCTTTCTGTTCTACTTTTGTCTTTTTCTTTCTCTCTTTCTCTAATTTATTTAAAAGCGAATTTTATCATGACTTGTTTAACAATAGTATTGCTTGATGGCTTCTTATCTACTCCAAATTTTTTTCTTGATTATGATATACTGGTTATTATGCTTTATCTCTCAATTGTCTTCAGCATCATTTCTTGAACATCTTAATTTGCATCTTTTTGAGACTCTCATATTCGTTTGTTGTATATTACTTTTCTTTTTTCTAATCTTATTATTTTAAACAATACTTAACATATTTTAAATGCTTTTTGTGGTTATAGTTTTTTAATTCTTTTTTGTATTATTTTATACTTATTACAATGGCAAGCATTGAAGGAATTGTGTCTCAGAGCGCCAAATAAATGGCGATTCAATCAATCAACCAATCTCTCTCTCTCTCTCTCTCTCTCTCTCTCTCTCTCTTTCATACGGGAATTACTAAAACATGCTGGACCAATCAAAAGTGATTGTTTTGTGTCTTGACTCTGATTAGAAGGTCTTTAATTTAAACAAACGAATGCGTGATGTAAAAGTCGATATCATAAAGATTACGGCACTTAATTCATGTCGATTAGTTGAACGAAAATATGAAGTTACAGTAATGATCCGTCTAATTGCTAACAAGCAATATGTTTGTATATTTCGCTCAGAACGATTCCGTCATTTATCTTGGTGTTTTAACACGAGGCGCATAGATAATTTGTAATTATTTCAGAACGATTTTAATTGTGCTATTAAACTAACAGTGACGCGGTAATTGCAAGATACATGTACAATACATATTGCAATATTGTAATAAATTTGCATTTTTTATGCTTAATTGATTTAGAGCGACGCTTATTCTTAAAATCATAATTTAACTGTATTTATATAATTGAATTGAAAAATAATTATGTGAATATATTAAAACTTGTTTTAAAGTAGTTTTTAATAACATTATTTAGCACCATTAAATAATAATTCATAAGAGGAAAAAATTAATAAAACGTTAATTTTAAAACATCAATAGACACTACTTATATTTTTTGCGGTAACAAACAAACAAGGCGGATAATATATAACCTCAAGATACTCAGAGTTCAATAAACTGCCACACATTGCGCAAGTGTTTAGCTAATAAAATATTATCATTATACCTTTCACGCGCGCGGTGAATAAACTGTAGTAGAGAATGCACTTCATAAAAGTGATTTATAACAAAATCGTCCGCACTTACTCGACGCTCGCGAGATCGATCTCTTGATCGTTGCATCGTCACGCATGAAATAATAAGCTTACATAAAATCCATGAGTGATACATTAATAAGTGTACGGTATCGGTTGAAGAATTATTAGAAATGTCGGAAATTTTTCGACGAAATTTTTCATCAAGCACACGATGCTTTTGACGATACACTCTTAAGTATTTCGCTTGCTCACAATCAACGCGCGTAAATTCGCGATTGTAACGTCGCGTCGGTGTCGGCGCAATTACAAACGTTTCCTCGCAAGTCGGCTTGTAGATGGTAGAGTCGCGCTTCGGCGGCGATTATCGCGGTTTGTTCGCGACGTTAAATGCTTTTAGACAGCAGTTCGACCAACGCTAATGAAGTTGTCTGGGATTATACGAGCATCGGTGAGGAACTACAAGAACGTAAAGGAAGGGTTGTCCACGCATACATCACTTGTCGAGATCCACTCGGCGCGAGTACACTCGGCGCCTTTGCGCACCTTCGACCAATATCTTATCGTCGCGTCGCGACAAATGAACCGGCCATTAACCGACTTGTCCGCGCGTCCGCGTCACGCCCGTTGTCCTTCTTCGCTTCGAACGAAGCTGGAACGTGGAGCTGAAGCTGGAATCCAATTAGCGGGCGGAGGCTCTTGACTCTTCTCGTATCAGACGGAGGCCCCACGTATCTCGCATCAGTCACCTGACGTCCGACTTAATCCGGAACGGTCGAAAGACAATGCGTGCTCCGGTTTTGAGTGATGGATTAGGTATTAAATGGTTGTTTTCACTAGGATTAGGTGGATATACTGACCTGAAGAGCACGCCGACCCGGCCTTTTTCAAAACTTTCTCGAGCCACGCTTAGTTGAATTGCTTAAATTTGTACGGAAATCATATTTTTTAGAAATACTTTCCTAAAAATATTTTTAGTGGCAATTGTGGCTATATATTTGTCATTTCCAGAGTCGAATTTTGGAAGTAATAATAAAAAGAAATTTAAAGTAATAATGACAAATGTCAAGAACAGGACAAATTTAATAGAAGCGTATATTCAAGAATTTGACAACAAGATTTCGTATGAATTAATAGATATCCTAGAGATACTCGATTAATGTTGTTGTCAAAATATAAAACATGTAATAGACAAGCTTATTAAAATATTAGTAATTTAAAACATGTTTACTTTTGCCTTCGAATTTAATTATTAAAAGACTTTTGATTAAAAAAAGAAAAACGAAATACGTATAATAGAGCAACTTATTTAGAAATTACGAGTTGCGCATGATATCCAACTCGGAAAATCTTTCAAATAGCTACGAATTTCTTAATAGCAGCCTCCGGCCAAAGGAATGGAAACGGTTTTCGTTCTCGGTTACGTTGAAATAGAAAAAAATCAAATCAGAGGAAGCTTTTTCATCGTTTCTCGTGCGCAATGTGGTAGCGATGTAGAAATATAAGATGTCGGTTCAGCGACAATGTTAGACAGGCTGCGTTAAGTCCAGCCTAGGGCAGAGACGGACACCTTGTAATTTCGAGTTCTTTGGATTGAGAGCCGCGCGCCTACCGTGTGATTATCAACGTCGCATTAATCGGTCGGTAGGCTTATTATCATACGTTCGGTTGGGTTTGATTACGCGACTCTAAAAAGAACCTTCAGCGATGCGAGGCGGAATGTACTTGCGCGTGCACCGGCGCAAAGTGCTACTTTGCAGCAATTTCTGCCGCTACCGCGCACTTTGCGTACGCCTCGGTGTTAAAAACCATAACTCTAGCCTCTCTAGTTTATTCCCTTGTAACGTGAGCTCTCGCGGAACGGCGCGAGAGAAAAAGTGCATCCATAAAATAGTACCTTTGATTTTTCACGCGCAAAGCTACATCTCGCCTGTTTGACATCGCGTCGCCTCAATCGACTGTAATTAATAATGGCAGCTCGTAATCGTGGCTAAAACGTCTTTATAAAATTTATTGCGCACTAATTATGCGTCGATGCACTGCACGACAGTTAGTTTGTATCGTGAGATAGAGATCAGTGAGATTGAGATCAATTGAGAAAGATTTTTCATTTATAAAGAATAATTAACAAAGAAATTTGTATGTATATATAATTATTTTAAAATCAATTCTAACTGTAGTTATATTATTTTAATGTTGGGTTGGCGCAAACAAAAGTTTGTGGTGCTACAAACTTCAAAATTCAAGCAACTGTAGGTAATTTAAAAATGAACCAAATTTAAAAAGTTAAAAAAGGTTTTTAAAGTTTAAAATCTTTATTTTTGAAAGCTCGCTACGTCTTTTGAATGAGTATAATTTTATATATAAAAAATTTCGAGTTGGACAAATGAGAAATTTTCTTCTCACTTTGTCACGTGAAAAAACTTACGAAAACTTTCGACTTTCTAACGCGAAAACTTAATTTTTTTCCTACATAAAATCGTTTTTAAAAATGTTTCTATAAGAATTTTTTTACTATATTCGAGTGTTAATTTAGCGTGTGATTGTATTATTTCAAGATTTTATGATAAATTAATATTTCATCAACATTTCTTAGTCAAGACTTGAGTGTTAAATGACGTAATTTATGAGTAAGCGAATAAATAATGTATTTATGAGTAAGTAAAAATAAAGTATTTTAAAACGTAAATTCTACGATGAATGAATAAAATGTGGAAAAATTTTACATATCATCAATGTTAATTTTACTGAAAAAAATATGCTTCCACGGTTTGTTTACAAACTGTGTCGATATTATCTCTTTTGTATTAATTCTCTTACGTAATATTTATGTGATCTAACATATTCATCTTGTATTAAATTAAACTCAAAAATTTCAGTTGGACATGCGATTTATGTTAAATTCGATATTTTTTTTCCAACAAGTATTACGTATAGTTGAAGAGATTTTAATTTACTTCTGTTGATAAAAAAACGAAAAATAAACGTCACGTTTAATACTAATTTAATATAATCCAATATGCTTTTCCATATCCTCAAAGAGTTGAATCATAACGTCAAAGAGTTGGGGGCGGCTACACGGATATTAAATATCGCACACACGCCCAGTATCGCTTCGAAATTGCACGGGGAAGATAAACACGAGCGCAAACACGCGATTGCATCGCCGTGGCGCGATGTAACTTGGTGGAAAGTTTATGGGGGATCATTATTGTCTCTTTTACGCGCTCCCTGTTGACTTTTCATTGATCCACGGCTTGTCGATCCTCTGTTGCAATCCGATTTCAAGTACACGTATAAATCACGAAGAAAATCATATACGCGACAATTTGCCGTAAAATAATACGCTAATTGTAATAGTCGTGTTAATTTTCACAGAGATGAGGAGAGAGAGAGAGATTTTCGGTTTGGATTGCGTCGCATCCGAAGTCTCACCATCTCGATATCTTTGTTTATTTTTAGTGCCTTCCCTCTCTTACTCGCGGACAACAAAACGTGCCTAACGTTGTAGTGCTAGAAGTGTCCATGGCTCTCCTCTCTCTCCCGGGAAGGCCGCCCGCATCTCCCCGATGAAAACACGCAACGTCGTAATCGCGATATAAAAATAATGAAACAGATTCCGCGCGAGATAGGCGGCGCGGGCGCTGGCACGATGCGCACCTCTATCGAGCTCTACGCTACTTCATTGCATCGCTTTAAGATTGATATATGGCTCCGTAATTAATTACCGTGCCGTTAACGCAGTGTAGGGCTTTCTTCCTCTCTCTCTCTCTCTCTCTCTCTTACTCTCTTTTGACATAACAAGAGCACGCATTCTCTACGTTGTGCTAATTATCGCAATACGTATGTGAATTGAATAATGCATTTATTTTATCAGATAATTACGCGCGGCTTGTCGAATAAAATATTCCTACTGTGTTATTGTTTTTCTCCCTCTGTTTTTCGAAAAAAAAAAAACTCGTCATTTCCGTTAATTTCGATTCGATTAAGACTCCTTGAATGCTTCAGCGGCCTTTACATTTTACGTGATCTCCGAAATCGTCCGGGCAGAAAAATGACTTCATTAATCGTATAATACGACGATTTATCGTAAAAAACAGAAGTAAAGAAATATTTTTACGGATAAACTAAAGAAGTGACAAATTGTTTTCTTTTTTTCTATATTTAAACGAGGTTTTTCTAATATAAATTTATCAAATATAATTTAAATTCTTAATTGTCCAACACTTTATTAAATAATTTTTCAGTTAGCTACAAAATCTCAATTATGCAGAAAAAATGATTTTTGTTGAAATATTTAAAAACTTAGCTGACACTGAACTGTAAACAATTTTATTAGACTATCAAAATAATTATGTAAGAAACTTAAACATTATGAATAAAAAATCTTGATATTTCAGCGACTCATTCTGCATAATTATTTTAATAATCAATTAAATTTTTAGATTCTTTTAAACCGTTCTTTTCACTTTATTATAACTATTCATATCAAATTTTCTTGAAAAAAAGAATATATTTCTTTTGAATAAATACTCCTTTCAATATATGTATTATAAATTTAATATATTATAATTTATAAATACTTTTATCATCTCATTATCTTTCTCTACTATTTCGCATTACGATAGACATCTCATCTTGAAATATTCGCGGTCGCTTTATTAATGTAAAAAAATCAATAACCGTGTCATATCGCGATACGTTATCGAAATTATGGATCAGGTTTTAGTTTAATTTTATTTTTGTTCGTACGCGAGTAGTAACGAGGATTCTGAAAGTTGATGTTAGGGTGGTGCATGTTCGCAGACCTCTCGCCATTGGGTGATAAAAGCGGAAGCCTCGTCGATGAGCTCGGCGGTGGTGGCGGGGGAGCCTGCAATTGCAGCAGCTCAACAGGCGGTTTCAGAGAACGCAGTACCTCGCGCTACCGGAAAGAGCGGAGCTCGCGGCTAGCCTCGGACTCACGCAAACGCAGGCAAGTTCTATCGACATTATAAGACAAGCAGACTAGAGCGCAAGCTTCCCACGACATAGTCGTGCAACGATAAGTACCTCTTATCTCGCGCTACTCCGAGGTGACAGGTTGCCGTAAACAGATTGCGATAAACGTAAATACAAAATGTAATACTTTGCCAAAGCGAACATACATATATCGGATTTTTAGATTTTGCAAACTTCAATTATTTAATCACACTAGAATGACATTATTTATTTTAATGTAGATTAAAGACAAAAATTATTAAGAATTATTGGAAAAGTAATTTTTTATTGAATTTTATATTTTGCTCTTATATGTATATAAATGATATTTTAACTTATAAGATATTGAAAAGTCCATTCGAGTATTGCGATATATATTGCGAAAACAAATTATTATGTTAATATACCTCACGATATAGAAAAGAACTGTCTCTCCATATACATATTTTATCTGGAACTTATTTGAGTTGTGGCTGGAACAATATCGTGTTGACAAATACATTTGCACCGAATGATAAAATATCTGAGATATATATATTTCCGCGGGCAAAACAGGTTTTTTCACTCCGATATGAATTATCAGGAAGTACTGTCGGAAAGAACCTCTCGAAATCGCGTAAACGAGGGAATTCCGTGCGAACGACAACGCATCGTACACGACGTTTATCTTGCAAATGATGAGAGACTCTCGCGTTGTGATTAGAATTTTGCATTTTATCGAAACGGCCTGACAATCTTTATTTTTTTTTTTTATTTTTTTTTATTTTACGATGGATGGATCCAGTTGCGTGGTCGGTCCGCGGTAACGGGAGCCCGATAAACGGCATCTGTCAGCATTATCGGCACAAATGACTTTACTAAATCACCGATTCGCCACGCCCTGGACATCGGGGATAGGGTTGCCGTCAGTGTCCAGTGTACCGAGGGAAGAAAAGAGAACGAAAGAGACAAGTTTCCGGACTAACGAGGTGCCCATAAATTTTCTCCCGGCGATCGTGCGAGTTTTGCGCGCGAGCTTTCCACGCGGGCGGGGCTTTATGCGCTCGCCGGCGAAAGATTTTTCGCCAATTATCTGTCGCGCGGTTTCCAATTAACGATTTATTAGCGAAGCTCGAGCTACATAATTGGAGAGAAGTTAATTGGACTCCGAACTTGTCCGTTATAGATTTCTCGGGTAGATGACGATTTATCGACGAGCCAAAGTCCGCGGCTAATTAGAACAATTTCATTGGACAATTCAAATGTATACGGATTAGCAAGTCGTAGTATCGCGTTGGCAGTTTATTAAACATTGAGCACCGTCGTAAAGCTAGTTTCTTTCTGTATTACTATTGATTTGTGTGTGCGGTCTGACGAGATTACACGTTCCTTCGGATAAAATTATGCGTTTCATTGACTGATGCGAGACGAGATGGAGCAATTTTCGCGGTTGCTCTTTGTGCGTGTTCCTCACCCCTCGAAGAAGTGTGTGCACAATCGTCGTGGCGCAGCGCGTAACTGCGTATCGCGTAATCATGGGATAACTGGCTGTCGTAGCTGGTTGATGTCGTTGCAGGGGGTCCCGGACCGGATAATTTCATTAGACGGAGCACCGCGGGGAGTTATTCTCCCCCCGTGAGCGAGTGAATCGAGCGCGACGCAACCTGATGAGCAGTCGGCGTCTGGTTGTTTACTAAACACGGTCGTTCGAAATCAGCGGTAGCCGCTCGGTCGAGAGAAAGAGAGGAAAATTAAATTACGAAATCTCGGCAGATTATCTATTACATCTTCTATACATCAAAATGTAATCCGTTATTTCATTTCCGTCGGAATCGCGTAGAATTGATTGACGCGACAAACTAGGGCAATAAAAAAAATTCGGCAAATTCGGTAAACCTTCGTACATACGATTAAGTATATTAGAACGCAAAAAATGAAGTTTTAGATTTTTCTTTTCGGACGAGTAGATAAATCTGCGATGAAACAATTGAATTTCACGTTGGATACCAGCGATAAATTTTCTTTATTTTGAAATATGGGGAGGATGACTTCTACCTTTTGTCAAACACTCAGCATCTCCGCGGCTGCATGTAACGAAGAATGTTCCGCCGCGCGCGATCGGTGGAGCTCTTCAGCAGGCACCGTGCATAATCCGTAATCGTCCAATCAAGGCGTTCGACCAAGCGCCTCTGCCTCTGCACTCTTGGCCCTGCTACCGTCGCGCACTGGCTTTCTTGTCATCGCCACCAACATGGCGCCTTAGCCTTCAGTCTCTTCCATCTTCTCCTCTTTCCTCGTCCCCTCTCTTCCTTATACCACGACAGCCTCGTCGTCCTCCCGGCGATCTCCCCTCGTACATTTCCCCACCGACTCTCCCCATTCTCCTCCTCCTCCTCCTCCTCTTCCTCTTTTCCTTTAGCCTCGGATGAACAAGAGAGAAAGAGTAGCAGGGAAAAAGGGGACGGGAAGGGGAGGGCGGGAGGAACGATGAAGATCCGAGGTGAGGCCACGCATCTCTTTTTCTCCGGGGCCTCAATTTGAGGACGTGGTAGCGTTCGTGCCGCTGGTATACACGTGATACGCGAAGGGGGTCCGAGAGGGAGGGGGACGAGGGGGACCAGAGGGATCGGGAAGGACGGGAAAGGGGAGAAGGTAGCAGGGAGTACTTGTACACGCGAAGTACGTGGGCACCAACACGCCCGTCTGCGTTCTTGCCACGTACCTTGGGCGTGGTGCTTCCTTTTTCTTCCTCCTCGCCGCGACTAACATGCCCGATCTCTCCTCATTGGCCCCGGGAATGCGAACACGTCGAAGCGAGATTCGAAAGTCGCGGGAGGGAAGCGCGAGTACACCGAGTGAATTCGAAATTTTGCCGTACTCCTGGTCCATCACGGGGAGGATGCGACGTTAACGTCCTCGTAGGGAGAAAGACTTTTTACTATTTCGTCGAAAATAGATTTAGAAAATAAAGATTCGTGGCATCACAAAGTAGATCAAAAAATATTCACTTACCATACATTTAGTAATCGATCGTAATACTAAATTTATTTGTTTTATATATAAAATTCTCATAGCGAAAATAAATTTTACGTTACTTATATAAGAATCATTACATAGATATAAATTTGTATTTAGTCGCGCACAGTTTTGCTACGAAACTACTGCAAAGAAGCTCATAGCAAGAAATCACGGAGAAAATTATATAAATATGAAATATATCGAGTACGAATTAAAGTAAACTAGTCTCGCGTTCAAATTCCGTCATTGAATTACCGAATGAAAATAAATTACGCATCGGAAAACTGCCGCGAAACGCGTTCAAGGTCCTCGGGGATTCAACCACCGCACGCGCGTCACGTAGTTGCGCACGCGATACAACTTCGCGGAAAAGCATCGCATACATCATCGAAAACGCTGCTCACACAGTAGATGTACGCACGGGTAATTATTATTCATGCATCAATGCATTCGCGAACATAAATAACGTACATAAATAGCGTACCGCGTGCGTTCACTACCGTTCATCGTTGTCTCAGTATTGAGATTCTCTTGTAAGAATTTACGGAAAAGAAAAAAATTATATTAATAAATTAGTACGGCATAGAAAAGGTATGCAAAATCATAAGAATCTGCAAACTAGATTTTCAGATCAATTTACGAGTCAGATTTACTATGAATTAATTTAAATCTTGAATTTTTACGATGTACATCATTGATATCTTACAAATGTACACGATTACAAGTGTCATTTGTCGAAGAAAGAAATGTTTGAATATCGAATATTTGTGTCCTTATATCATTTGATTATAATTTTACAGTTTAAAGATATTGTATATTAAAAATCTTTTAAGAATATTATACCGAAGAAAAAAGATTTTATATTAGTGACTTTTATATAATGTTATTTTAATTGAAAATAATTTCGTTAATTCGCACAACATTATTAATGAAACATTTTATATAACAATTTTATTTGTTTTTCATTAATATTATTATTGTGTGAGTCGCAATAAGAAAGGGAGATTATTTTCAATTAAAATAATGCTGATATAACATTTTTTTCGATGTACAAGTATAAACTCTTATAAATTCGATCTTTAACTTTCGTAATCCGAAATCGAGTGCAAAATTACTTTATGTCAACCGATTTCCAATCCTTCATGTAAAAGATTGCTAAACACGCTACAACGCAAACCACGTGCATATGCGAGATGCATGAAATGACGTTGAGTTCGGAGAACCTTGATCGTATCCGTTCCAGGAGAGCGAAAGAGAGAAGCGGATTAGCCCAGATCACGTTCTTAAGATCCTATATTATATCCACTCTCTTGACCAGTCCTCCGTGTATCTTTCTCTCTCCCGACTATAAAATCATTACGCAGTTTTTCTCCCTTTTTCCGGCTACCGCCGTGACACCGACTTGCGAAATGCGTCCTCGTCTTCGTGGCAGACGTCGATCCCGCCGAAAACCCGGCGTGTATGTCTCCGTTTTGGATGTATATCTCCACCTTTTC